AAGACGAAATTAATTCGTTCCGCGAATTTTTTCGTCTAGCGAATTTTTCGTCTTGCGAATCACGGTTTCCCATAGGAATGCATTGAAAATCAATTAATGCATTCCTATGGTCAAAAAAAGTCCAAACAAAGCCAAATTTGGTACAACAAGAGTTTATTAAGTGCTCTTTAAAGTCACACATACTGTAAAGAGCATTTCAAAAATTGAAGGAACAATAAATTAAGTTTCTAAACATGACAGAAAAACATTTAAAAATCAACAAAGTGTACAGTACATTTTCTAAGACTCTGGGGGACAACTCGAAGAAGGTTCCTCTTCCACTCTTTGCTTCTTGCTGAAGAACCTGTCCATGGTCTGCTGCTTCATCCGCCTTTTCAGCACCTCCCTGAAAGGCGACATGACCCTCGTATCAAAAGTGTTCACAAGGTCATGTGCCATGTGCTTGTCAGGGTGGTGCCGCTGTGCAAAAGCCTGCACATCCTTCCACTTCAGGCAAATGTCCCTCAGTTCTTTGGAGGACAACCGTTCCTCAGTTGCTTCCTCCTCTTCCAGCGAGGCCTGCTCCTGCGCAGCCTCTGCCTGCAGTTCGACCAGCTCCTGGGTGGTCAGCTCGTGGTCGTGCTCCTCCACCAGCTCGCTGATGTCCTCCTCTGTGACCTCCAGGCCCATGGTCCTCCCCAAGGCAACAATGTCCTGCACCACGGTTGACTCTGGTGCATCAGAGTCACTTGGTGCCACACAGTCCGGCCACAGGCTGCACCAAGCGCAATTCAAATTTCTCTGGCTGATCCCGTTCGAGGCCGTGGTGATCATCTTCAAGCAGGTGACGATGTCGAAGTGGTCCTTCCAGAATTCCCGCAGGGTGATGGTGGTGCAATCAGTCACCTCGAAGCATCGCCTGAAAAGCTCCCCCAGCCCCTCCCCAACTGTTGCAAACCCCTCCCCAACTGTTCCCCCAGCCACCCACCACACAGAAATTCAAACCCAGATTTTTTTTTAAAAAAAAACAGCAGAGTGCCCCAATGGTTACAAAAAATCATAAAAATGCAGAAAAAACACACACAAGCTTCCAGATTCTTGCAAACCCCTCCCCAACACCAAGTCCTTGAATTCCAAACACCCCAACCCAAAATCCAACCCCCCCAAAAAAAAAGTTTTAAAAGCTTAACTTACCAAATGGCTGCAAAAGAAGTTTTGGAAAAGCTTCAAAAATCACCAAAGTCTTTAAAAACCTCAAAAAAGGCTACTATGTACACTGCGTTCTATGAGTTGTTCCTCGAAGTCAAGTCACAACTGTATTAATGGTGTTAAGAAAAGGGAAACAAACTTGCAAGGCGTTTTCGTCTTGCGAAGCAAGCCCATAGGGAAATTCGTCTTGCGAAGCAGCTCAAAAATGGAAAGCCCTTTCGTCTAGCGAGTTTTCCGTCTTGCGAGGCATTCATCTTGCGGGGCACCACTGTAATTCTATACAAATGGGCAACACTAGACAGGGGGGAAAATGCTCTGTGAGTTTCAAAAAATTAACTATTTGCTTTTAACAACTCTATAAACAGGTAAAGGTAAAGTACCCCCTGACAGTTAAGTCCAGTTGCAAATGACTCTAGGGTTGCAGCGCTCATCTTGCTTTACTGGCTGAGGGAGCCAACATTTGTCCGCAGACAGTTTTTCCGGGTCATGTGGCCAACATGACTAAGCTGCTTCTGTCAAAACCAGAGCAGCACATAAAACACCGTTTACCTTCCCGCCGAAATGGTACCCTATTCATCTACTTGCACTGGTGTGTTTTCGAACTGCTAGGTTGGCAGGAGCTGGGACCGAGCAACGGGAGCTCACCCTGTCATGGGAATTGGAACTGCGAACCTTCCAATCAGCAAACCCAAGGCTCAGTGGTTTAGACCACAGCACCACCCCCGTCCCTAACAACTCTATATGTGGGTTCAAATAAGAATTAAGCAATATGACCTTCAGACTTCTTTTTTTACAACACTGAAAAAAGGCCTAGTTTGCATATTGTACAAGTTATGCTTGTAAATTAACCAGAACATAAAGTTGGTTCCCTAGGCTTACAACAGCATGTCCTGGCCACTGATGAGGGCCAGAGGACCTTGAGAGTGTATTAGGCTGCTTTTTACCTAAAGCCGCTACTAGGCTACTAGGGTGCTGAAATGGGATTGTAATGCCCAGACTGGACAGAATGTGCAAACCGCTTCTTGTATGGGAGCCATTTTTGGATTTGGCCAAACATTATCATTAGTCCCAGAACATCATCAGCATCATCAATCCCTATGTGCTTGCTTATCCATCTCTGCAATGCTTGCTCAAACTTCTAGATTTGCAAGTAAAAAGGTTGGTACAGAGCTATCATTAATTTCTAGCACTGTCTTCTTCAAAAGGAGATTGCATTTGTAAAGGCTGCCTTGAATTTCTCAGGAGTGGTAGAAAGCAGGGATATTTCATTAGCTCTGTGGGAATACCTCTTCTATGTGGTTCCTTCTATCCCTAAATGACTTCAGTTCAAGATGGTTATTATAAGAACTGTATAACTTTAAAACCAATGCCTCAGTTTGCATGTTGTCCTCTTTCTCGCTCTTCCCTCTTTCCTTTTGTGCCCTGCTTTTAGATCATAGATCTGAAGGCAAGCACTGTAAGTAAACCACTCTGGGGGGTCTTTTACAGCTTCAGAGTGGGGTAAAAACAATGGAAACAAAAATGTTGAACCTTATTGCGAGCTCCTTCACAATATTTCGTTTATTCATTGCAGATGACGCAGAAATCCAAGAAGTTTCTTCTACAACATTTAATGATAATTTTACAACCCAGTATATAGCTCATATATTTAACCATCCCACTTTTGCGTGAATCGGAACGTTTCAGAGGTGTTGCAGTGAGTGCACTGAACCTTTTAAAATCTCTGACTCAAAACACATCAAGAAGAACCATCTTCTCATCTCCCTCTCTGCTGGAGATCTAACAGCTGCAATGCAAATTCTTGTTAGATTTGCTGACACCTTTATAGTATTGTGGCATTTTGCAAACACCACACTCTAAGGTAGAAGTACCCCTTGTATACATTGAAAGTGAATACAGTACAGTATACCATAATTTTTGTCTTTGTCTTTTAGAGATGAAAAATCTTAACATGCTGAGTCTGACTTGAAATATGGATGGTTTATGTGCATATTTACCTCAACCACCCAAGCTGGGGGGGGGGGGGAAACGCTGTGTTGACACACAGTGCTGTGAGGAGAGCCCTCAAATGGACATTTTTCCTTAAAGAGGGTGGCCTTTAAAAAGTCCTTTTCAGTAAAAAACAAACAAGCGTGAGGTACAAAATGTAAGGTGGAAGGGAGGCTAGAAAGAGAACAAACTAATTAATGGTAATTGCACCCAGGCAATAAAAGAGCAACCATGGTCATACATATTCAGGGCTGTATTTAGGTTTGATGAGGCCCTAAGCTACTGAAGGTAATGGGGCTTTTTATGTGTCCAGCTGTCCTTTGTCAACAACAAATTGTCACTGTTTTTTGTGTTGAATATATGCTATATGGTGATTTATGGACCTAATGGGTATCTAAAGTCATTTGCACATGTTTCTGTATGTAGATTTTATTTTATTTGTTTTTCATCTTATATTTTGGAAATGTACATCCATGGGTTTTTTCCCTTTAATTTTTTTGGGGGCCCCCCAAAAGAGTGGGGCCCTAAGCTACAGCTTGTTTAGCTTATAGGAAAATCAGGCACTGGATTCCTTAGCAGTTAAGACCCACTGACTGAACTCGGTGAAAAAGCGCTTTGGGGGATTGCAGCCTTAATAAGGGGGCGCGAGCCATATCAAGGCAGCAGAAGCAGCAGCAGGCCTGGGCTGCTTCGCTTGCAAAAGCGCTTTCCCTCCAAAGCCCTTTCTGTCTCTGGGCAGGAGAGGGGGTTGCGGTCTAGCCCCTCCCCCCCCTCGTGCGCGGGGGCTGTCGTAGCCCCCGCGAGAGGTGAGGGAATCCCTGGGCGTGCTCGCGACCCTGGCCTCCTATCGGAGGGCCGGGGGAGGCGGGCTTAAGGTGATTTAAGCCGGGCACGCCCAGGGTCCACCCTCTTCTCCCCTGGGCAGCCGAGAGGTTTTCCCATCCCACCCACCCTTTAAGGCGTAGGCAGTCGTAGGTAGGCATGACATTGCTATGGATTCCGGTTGGTCGCCGCAAGGGGCCTGGTAGGAATTTTTTCCAAGTTGGCAATCTTCGGCCAGTTGGTTTTTCGCCTACCTCATAGCAAACGTCACAACTTTCCTTGTATTGGCGGTTAGGCATTGGCTGGGGTTCTATGGTTAGTCGAATGGTTGGGGGAAGGAACGCCATCACCTTCCCCAGGTAATGGGTAGTCCGGTACAGGACTCCGAGGGGCGTTGTCTTGTCCGAAACCTGTCTAGGTAAGGGCCCCGGCACGCCCCAAGCGGTGACACCGCGGGGCCCTAGTTGGCGTACTCCAGCAGGGGCTTCCCCACGGTTTTGTGTTAACCCTTCCCGGACTACAAGCCGGGGTAGCAGATAGGAGCCAATGCCTAAGGCCAATACCTTCAATTCTTTAATCAATAAAGTTGTGGCCATTTCAAAGCCCAATTAAATCTTAAACGCTGTGTCCTGTGTCTTTCTTTCTGGGGGGAGGGTTTGACACGCAAAGCGGGACACAAAACCGCCGCCGTGAGAGCGCGCGCGTCCAACCCTCTTCGGGCGCTGCAATGGGGGAGCCCAAAGTAAGCAGCAGCTCCCGGGCTCCCCTCAGCGGCGGCGGCGTCGGGCCGCCCACCCAAGCCATCCCGAGTCCGGCTCTTGTCTCTCGCTCTGCCTCCTCTGCTTGGCGGCTGCCGGGAGGCCGGGGGAAGAAAAGAGAGATGCGTTTGATGATGTAATCGCCAGTCAGTGAGCGGTGAAATTTAACACCGAGCGGCGGTGGGGAGGATTCGCTTTGCTTTGGGGTTGGCTGCTCGCTCTGCTCTGCTCCGCAGCCAGAGGCAGAGTCTCCTTTTCAGCTCCGGATGCCTGCGCTGTTGCCACTAGAAGCTGCAGAGAGAGCAATTTAAAAAGTTTGGTGGGGGGTTTTTTTGCCTGCGCGTTGCAGAGCTCCCCCCCTCCTTTTTTTCTTTGCCAGTCTGGACCTTTGCTGCAGCTGTGCCCCCCTTTCCGTTGGCCCAGAACTCGTGCAAAAACCCACCCCGCCGAAGCCCCTCACGCCAACCACCACGCGACACCCAAACAACAGCGCCCGGGCGGCCGCCGGCGAGGCACGCGCGAGGCGCCCCCTCTCGCGCCTTTGCCGAGCTGGCGCTTCCCCACCATGCGGAGCGAGACCCGCTAGGGCGACCTTCGCGCAAGCAGCAGCAGCAGCAGCAGCAGCTCCTCTCTGGGCGGAGCGGAGCCGAGGAGCGGCGTCGGCGTTTCATGGACAGTACCTGAAGCCCCTGGCTGTGAGGAAGCGCTTGAGGAGGAGGAGAGGGGGCGCCCCGAGGAGAAGAAGAAGAAGAAGAAGAAGAAGACAGCCGCCTTCTGTTTTCGGTTAGAACTTCGCTGCCCGGACAAATGCATACAAATGCCTTTAGGAGCTCAAAGGACAAGGAGTGGAAGCATCTCTCCCACCGCGAAAACGTGAGTTTCAGGCAGGGGGGGGGGCGGCCGGGGAGGCGAGAGCGCGGGGCGCGCCGCGCTCTCGCCGCTTGTCAACGCGGTGGCCGAGCGGCGGGTCCCGGCTGTTGCAACGACGAGGGGGTGGGGGGGGTGCCTGCTTATGATGCTGGGGGGACACACACAGAGGAACCAAGTTCCCCCAATGAAATATTTTGAGGGCCCTCCCTCCCCAAAAAGTTGATGGCCATTGGCATGGCCATTCACACGGTGTGCGTGCGCCCTCACTTGCGATGGTTGTGTGGGGCGGAGCTTTATTTTATTCAAGTTGGCACGAATGAGTTGACAATGGTCAACAGCAAAGATGCTTGTTTGTTGGAAGATCTCCGTTCTCCCTGCCCGGCGAGGCTGTTTCTGGACTTGATGTTTTAAAGCCCTCGTGGGGGAAGGCGGTTGGCGCGTTTCCCATTCCTGGGAGGAACAGGATGCCGGGACTCCCAGGTTTCCCCCAGCTGTCCCTGGGAGTTACCAGGTCCGCTCATCTGCAAGGAGACTCTAGCTTTCTCGGTTGACCTTTCCCCTCGTTAAACCAGAAGGAAACATGGGTCCTTTTTTTGCATTTTATTTTTAAAAAATATTAATTCTGTTTTATTTCCAGCACCAGATGACAAGTTTGAGTGGGCTGGCCTGAGTTGGGAAGTAGTTGATTGATTAATGATGAACTGGCAAGTTTGTTTGGGTTTGCTGAGAGCAGACTTAGGGAGGAAGCATCTTTTTTAACCAGAGATGTCTCTGGTTGCCCTAACCACAGCATTCTTCTCCACAGTTTGCCAGCTCTCCTGGATAGTCTGCAAGGACATGCCAGCTCTGCAGAGCAGCAGCTCCCAGAATTAATATTATTCCTATTGGAACTGGGGACAGACTTCTGTGTGTGGATTCCAGCTCCACAACCAAGATTGAAAAGCCACCTCCTCCCCCCCCCCCCGCACTCAACATCTATCACTCCGGCAAGAACTTGCTTACATTGATCCTGTGAACCATTAGATTAGCAGATCTGTCCCAGTCACTACAATGGAGCATAATGATTCTCCCCTGATTTCTGAACATTGATGCTCCCTAGAGCCAACACATGTTTTTTTTAAAATAAAAAAATATTTTTATCTTTGGACTTCCTACCTACCTAGGAGCAAAAAAATTGCCCTTTCTTGCCCAGTCTGATGAGGAAGGGCCTATCAGGGTATAAGGACAACATGCAACCCATGTGGGGAGGCCTCACATCCCTGTGCATGTGTGAGATGTTCATGGTATGAGACATAATAAGGGTGAAGTTGTGCCTTTCCTTCCTGGAAGGGCACAGTTCATGTGTATTATTTTTAGAGAAGGAACCATTTGGGATCCAAGCAGATTTGGCTGCATTCTAGGAGGGAGCTGCTGCAAAGACTTAGCTGCCTGCAGACACCCGTCTTTCTTTCAAGAAAGAAACAAAACCCTTGTTTTAAACCAATATTTTTTAAAAAAAAATTACTGGTGATCTGGGGCTATTTAAAGTTCCTGCATTCATGAAGCATGACAGAAAAGCACTTGCTTTCCCATCTGTGCAGCCCGGTTTTGGGAAGGAAGCAAAAGGGCACCCAAGATGACTGTTATTGGGAGAGGAAGGAGAGGTTTGGAGAAGGGTTACTTGTTTGTACATGTGTGTGAGAGAGAGGGGAAGAGAGGAGGGGGTAGGGAGGCAGCTGACTGGAAAACCTCTCTCCCACCCACCCTCTTTTGCTCAATTCACAGGCAAGTACTGTATTGAGAGGTCAGGCTGCCAAAACTTAGCTTCATTCCGCTTCCCTCTAGTTCATCTTTAGTAATAATCTTTCTCTTTCCCTGAAGGCAACCAGGAGCAAAGAGGCATTTGTTGTTACTTGTGATGGATAGGACTACTTAGTTAGGTTTGACTTACAGGCATGAGAAATCAAGGTGATCTTCCTGGATGCAGTTTGATTTGCCCTGGGCTTTTGCTCATTTTCTGCTTAGAAAATCAACAGGCTCTGCCAAGCAGCCAATTCTTTTAATTTAATACAGCAGAGTCTCTTGGGGCAGCTCTCTGTAAACAAATCCCTTGGCGTGCGAGGTAGTCTTTCCACGGAAGAGCTGGAGAGCAATTTGCTTTGTTGAGATTTGCAAGGCTGACTCCTTTTGTTTTATGCTTCGCTGGTCTGAATTTATTCTTTGTCAGATGTGTCTGTTCTTTAAGACCCAGTTCTCATTGAGGTAGTTAAACATGGATCTGGAGAGGAGCACTTCAAATGATTGAATGTCCTTTCAACCAGAAAAATAAAAAAATTATGGGAGCAATAATTTTAGCAGAGAGCTCTGGCAATCATTCCATAAGCATAAGCATTTCAACCCAAATAAGTACCTGCCCCTTAGGGACGCGGGTGGCGCTGTGGGTTAAACCATAGAGCCTAGGACTTGCCGATCAGACGGTTGGCGGTTCGAATCCCCGCAACGGGGTGAGCTCTGGTTGCTCGGTCCCTGCTCTTGCCAACCTAGCACTTCGAAAGCACGTCAAAGTACAAGTAGATAAATAGGTACCGCTCTGACGGGAAGGTAAACTGCGTTCCCGTGCGCTGCTCTGGTTCGCCAGAAGCGGCTTAGTCATGCTGGCCACATGACCCAGAAGCTGTCTGCGGACAAATGCTGGCTCCCTTGGCCAATAAAGTGAGATGAGCGCCGCAACCCCAGAGTCAGTCACGACTGGATCTAATGGTCAGGTGTCCCTTTACCTTTAGACTTACGTGGGGCTTAGTCATGCGGCCACATGACCTGGAAGCTGTACGCTGACTCCCTTGGCCAATAAAGCGAGATGAGTGCAGCAACCCCAGGGTTGGTCACGACTGGACCTAATGGTCAGGGGTCCCTTTACCTGAGTACCTGCCCCTTAGGAGCTAGATGTCTAATTTTCTACGAGCCAGTCTTCCAAAATGAACTTTAGATTGAATACTTGACTAGCCTAACCCGGTGTTAGGCTAAGAGATGGTGACTGGCCCATGGTCACCCGATGAGCTTCATGGCTGAGTGCAGAATCCAATCTTGGTCTCCCAAGTCATAGTCCCACACTCTAACCATTATGCCACACTGGCTCATTGCCTGCAGATAGTGCATGGGCCCAGCAGATGATGGTTATGATAGGCTAGTGACAGCAGGGCAGGGATTTCAGATGATGAGTAAATGTGAGGGGATCGTGTTAGCCCCAGCTGATGCACGTGCAGGGCGCAGGTTCAGCTGCCATGAGAGGGAGCCATACATGTGTATGCATGTATGTATGTATGCATGCACGTAGGGCTCCTCTGCCTGAGAGAGGGGTTCCCTGGTCGGTCAGTATCCTGCATGCATGGGGCAACATCAGTATGCACTTAGATCTTGTTCTCATGGCCATGTGGGGGTCTGTCTGAACCCTCCCAAGGTTTTCGGAGAAAACCTTGGACTCAGCTATACAGCTGCAAATATAATGTTTTAAGTGTGTTTTAAGTGCATTATACAAATGGGACACCAGATGGCGCTGATGAGCTAACGACAAATTCCACAGGTTTTTAAGAATGGTTATTTAAAAAAACATTTGCATAGTGTTTTTTATATGTGTGTTGTTTCAGCCCTTGTGAATTTCACCAATGATGGTAAAATTTACCCCCACTTAAAAAAACCTGTATGTATCCACACAATACAGGAGGGATAGCTAACATGGTGCCCTCCAGATGTTTTGGTCTACAACTGCCATTATCCCTGACCTTTGACCTTGCTGCCTGAGGCTGATGGGAATTGTAGACCAAAACACCTAGAGGGCACAATGTCGGCTAACCCTGTATAAGTGCTTGTCAGGGCCGGCCTTACCGTTAGGGAGTTGGACAGCCATCTGGGGCAGCAACAGTCCTTGGCAGATCCTCCTGCACCTCCAGCTGTTCTGCTACATGGCTTTGTCTGGGCTCCCTAAGCTGGTCTGCTGCCCCAGATGTGGTGGTGGAGCTGTCCTGTCACTAGTGTTGAAGTAAGATTCAGCTGCTAATTTATTTGGCTTCTGCATGTGGAACTAGGAGGAGTTGCTATCTTGTCCTTTGCCTCAGGTCACAAAATGTGTCTGTCCTGATGGTTGTGATCAATGGATGCTTCCAGATAGGTCTTTATTACGGGATGGGAGCTCATCATGCTTACCTTTTTTCTATAACATCAACATAACATCATTGGCGTCAAAATGCCAACCCCTACTTTGCCTTTAAGGGACGCGGGTGGCGCTGTGGGTTAAACCACAGAGCCTAGGACTTGCCGATCAGAAGGTCGGCGGTTCGAATCCCCGCAACAGGGTGAGCTCCCGTTGTTTGGTCCCTTCTCCTGCCAACCTAGCAGTTCGAAAGCACGTCAAAGAGCAAGTAGATAAATAGGTACCGCTCCGGCGTGAAGGTAAATGGCGTTTCCGTGCGCTGCTCTGGTTCGCCAGAAGTGGCTTAGTCATGCTGGCCACATGACCTGGAAGCTGTACGCCGGCTCCCTCGGCCAATAAAGTGAGATAATAATAATAATAATAATAATAATAATAATTTATTATTTATACCCCGCCCATCTGGCTGGGCCTCCCCAGCCACTCTGGGCGGCTTCCATAAAAACCAAAATTACAATAAAATATCACATGTTAAAAACTTCCCTGAACAGGGCTGCCTTAAGATGTCTCTTGAATGTCAGGTAGTTATTTATCGCTTTGACATCTGCTGGAAGGGCGTTCCACAGGGTGGGCGCCACTACCGAGAAGGCCCTCTGCCTGGTTCCCTGTAGCTTTGCTTCTCGCAATGAGGGAACCGCCAGAAGGCCCTCGGCGCTGGACCTCAGCGTCCGGGCAGAATGATGGGGGTGGTGACGCTCCTTCAGGTATACTGGACCGAGGCCGTTTAGGGCTTTAAAGGTCAGCACCAACACTTTGAATTGTGCTCGGAAACGTACTGGGAGCCAATGCAGGTCTTTCAAGACCGGTGTTATATGGTCTC